TAAAATAGTCAAACAGTAACAGTATAGAAGAATTCAGAATGGGACATCAAGACTATCAAAGTCAAATTAAACGTGAATGAAAAGTTCAAGGAGATATAACTACAGACATCTGCCATTTTGTATTTGTTTTTCTCGTGTTTTGGAGGAGAAAATAGGCACTCTTTGCTAATGTTGGATATTAATCTATGCTTTAGCAAAACATGTATGAATGCAAGGCTTGCTTACCTTTTTGGTTTTCAGATTGCTGCTGTTAAACTTAGTATAGTCTTCTTCTGCTTCCACAGGGACATCTGATAATTTCCTTTTCTGAAACGTTAGAGTGAGGAAGTTGCTCTGTCAACCACTTTTATGATGTACACACATGGAAGCTTAAAGCTTTGGCTTTATAACGTAACCATAGCACCAAAACAGGACTGGCAATCAACTGAAGAATCTGCAGTAACAGTGGAAGATTTCTCTTTGTAATTGTCTTCTTTACATATGAATATATACCATCTCTACAGTATTCAGAAGAGATCATTCAGTGTCATGGGAAGCGTTTTCTTCTTCCCAGCCTTCTGAAGAATGACTTCTGGAAATCACTTGAATCCCGTTTTTAACTTCCATGACTGTGACTTTGGTGTCAGAGTCTATTTAGAGAACCTTTACGGAGCAGCTGTTCAAAGTTAGTGTCTAACAGCCAGGGAACCTAGACTCTGGTCCCCACGGTCTCGTGGAACCGTGCAGCAACTCCAGTGTTATTGCTATCTGCCAACACAAGTGGATCATCATCTAGTCTGTTATCTGTTTGTGCACAACTTTAGAAGTAATTAGTTTCTACAGTTTGGCAACAGTGAAACACTGAAATAGTTCTGCTGACTGCTTCATCACTTGAATCCAACAGTGTATTAAGAAGCTTGACTCTGCGTGTGCTGGGTGCCGTCTAACTTCAGAAATAATGGAAGTGAACGGTTCTCGGCACTTCACATGATCAGGCTGTAAGAATGAATATTTCTTTCCATAAACTGTGAGCATGTGTTTAGTTTAAAGGTGAAAACTTCCTGATATGTTTCCAAAAGGGGAAAAAAAGTATATAGTATTTTACAACACTGTATTTTTATTATAATTATATATCTGATATTACTACCCTGTCCTTAATATCCTGTGAAATCTAAACTGTGGCCTTCCTAGTTTTTGTGCCAAAGAGAGTGATTTTGCAAGCAACTTGGATGGTACCATACATTTTAAGATCCTGTTTTATTCATTTTGTTTATGGTGCTTGTGATCTCTCTCTGTCTCCCCCTCCCTCCCTCTCTTTGGCACAGAAGCCAGGTCTGCAGCTTACATTTCTCAGCTCTTAGAACCAGATCCAACAGCAGCCTTTTGTTTTTGATTTCAATAGGATCTGGATCAGCCTCTCTAGGAGGCTGTTTACTATGCTGTGATTACATTTTCAAATGACAATCTAATGAACAATTACTATTCTCCTCTTTTTGGAATCTGATAAACAAGTTTTTAAAACTTATAACAAAATGTTTGCATTTCAGCAAAACATTTGCTGTTTAGTTGTAGCACAGCCTACATATTCTTTGTAGATGTCTGTCATCATCTGCCAATGGCCAGACTCCCTATGCTGACAAACTGGACAGTATGACGATTACAACACAAGATCAATCAATGGCTTACAATTAATAAGAAGAACATGTAATTTTGATTTAATCATTAAATCACAGAGTCCAGACTGTACCCAGTTTACTCTTGGACTACAAGAGAGAGAATCTGTCATAGCTTTTCTGTTAACCACTGAAGTTTCTAAATCTCTCCTCTCTTCAGAATGTATTTTAACATCATTTCTAAACATTCAATTACTTTACTGTAATAGGAAATACATTTTAGACCCTTCTTTATTTGCAATAATCCTATACTATGTCTGTCAATACACCTTGCCCTCATGAAGAGAAATGTCAGTGCAAGTGAATAAAAATGGTCTGAAGGGTACAAGAGGTTCCAGTGTACAAGCCTGCCTTGCTCCTCTCCTCTGAGATAGTGAAATGAAGGGGTGTTTTAATCTCTGAAGTTGCAAAGACTTAAACACAGAAGCGTCATACGCACCCTGGTCAGTGCTCTGGAAATTAATCAGATCCTCAGCAAGATTTCACTGCCCAACAACTGAACAGTTCTAAGCCTCATTTCCTCTGTAACCAAACTGCTGAAATAAAACTATTTTTAAAAATAGATTCTCAGAACTATCCCAATGGTATAAAAGCTATTCATACATAATATGTAATGTACATCACATGTAGTTTAATATAGTTGTTGTAACATGCTTATATGGCTAATGAATATCAGTTGGCTCCTGATGTGTGTTTAATATTTCTTACAATGCATAAAGATAATTCTTAACTGAATCAAAGGGCCAAGTAACTGTGCAGCCAGAACAACTGTCCAACCACATGGAAGTAACTTATATCCATGGATATACATTGGAGAACAAATGCTATTAATAACAGTAGGGCCCAATTATTCCTGGATGTGCTAGCTGACATACTGCTTAACAGAACAGTCACTGAACCAGCCAGAAATGAGGTTATTTTAGACTTTGTTTCGGTAAGTAGCAGGGATATTGCAGGAAAGGTTGGTGTAGTAAGTAACCTAGTTTCAGTAGACATAGGGTGCCTCATTTTAAATTAAATGGAAAGGATAATCGAAAGTGGGGTTCTTGATTCTAGAGGGACAAACTTTACAAACTATATGCCTTACTTCTCTAAGCCAAAGCAAAAGGACTTGGTGTGTGAGGAGGACACTTGGAATGTAAAAGAAAAAGATGGAAGAAGTTATTTTGGATCTTTTACTTCAAACAAGGTGAAAAATATTGAAGGAAAGAGCTTCTCAGACTAAACTATATGAATGCTCCCCCTTGCTCACAGAGATGCACACATATTCCTCCCCCCCCCCCCCCCCCAAAAAAAAAACCTAGGAGTAAGCAGAATTCTACAATGAACCGGTAAAAAAAGACTGCCAAAAAAAAAAAAATTGTTTTAGGAGTCAGGTAATACTGGGATAAAGTGAGAACTGCCAAAAAGTCAAGCCGACTTAGACCTTGGAAAGGAAATTAAAAAAAAAAAAAGTAGAAGGTTGTTTAGCCACAGAGGCAAAAAGGGAATCAAAACCTGAAAAAGTGAAGCTGCTAAACAGTAAGGATTGGATAAATATTAAAGCTAACCTATGTGTAGCCCCAAAATGGAATAAATCCTTTGCCTCAATAAATTGTTTTCAATAAAGATGAAGAGGTTAAACATAGGGGCAGAAAAGAGAATAGAAATCACTCTATTCAAGATAGAAGTAAAACTCAATGTGCTGACACTGTTGGGAGACTGCCTCAGAAATCACAAGTCCAGAGGCAAAATCTGGCAACTGTTCTATCAGGTAGGGACCACATTGCTGCAGAATAGACAACCACCCATCTATATGTAAGGAGGAGCAAAAAGTGATAGTAGGCCTCAGCAGAATGGAGGGGGGAGAAAAAGTGAAAGAAGGAAGAATAATTGAAGATACAGAGTAAATGAAAACTAAACATAGGTAATGCCTACCGGCTTATCTTTTTTTCTCAAAGATAACACATTTTCTGGCGACAGAAAAAGGATTGCCAGAGGACTTCACATGATGCCACTTAAGCAACTGAAATTATAGAAAACAAAGATTGCATAAGAATTTTAAGGTAGGTAAGAAACTAGGTAAAAGGGAAACAAAGGCAAATAATGCAGAAAGGGATGTCATTGGATCAGATGGAGATTACTAGTGGAATGCCACGAACAATATCTATTCAAAACATTAATTAATTGTTAATTAAAGATAACAGCATGCTAACATTTGCTGAATATACACCACTGAGTAGCATTATGAATACCTAAAGAGCTTTTAATACTATGAAGGAAGAGCCAGAGAACCCTCAAGATTGGAAACATTAAAACCAGATGAAATGTCCTGAAGTACAAGGTCATGTACACAGCAGCTAACTGCATGAATTTCTTGTAAATCTGAATGCTGATCAGCTAAAAATTGCAGTGGAGAAAAAAACCACAACTGTGTATCTTAACTGTTCACAGCATGACTGTGATCTATCTGGTACATCATACAGTAATAGAGGCAAATGGGATTCTAAGATGTAATGAAATAAAGTACTTTCAGTTAAGACAAGAAGGAAAGAATGCCATCATATTGTATCGGTAAAGGTTTTATCATGAATAATTATATATGATTCCGGTCACCTGCTTTGAAACAATTGAATTTATCTTGGAATAGGTGTAAAGAAATGTTCCTGCAATGATGAGGGAATGAAGAACCCATCCTACACAATCAAGTTTGGCTTCACAAAATGAAAACAGAACGAATATATGTTTTCCCTTTACACATCGAGAGAACTAATGTTAGGGAGGGAAAAGAGCCATTTCAATTAAAAAAAACAATGATAACGTTAGCACAAAAGCGCAGGGGAATAAATTGGCCATGAATAAATTCAAGGTGGAATTTACAGGAAGGTTTCTGAACATCAGAGGAATGAGGTTATAGAACAGTCTTCCAAGACAAGTAATGGAAATAAAAAATCCTAATGAGACTTACAGTGAAGAATAGTCAGTGTATGAGAGATTATCCAACATGGTTGCCTGGGAATCCATGACCCAGGAGGTCCCTTTCAGGGTCCTCATAAATTACATATGAAAGAAAACCTATGAGGTCATATTGTCCCATCAACCTCAATAAAACTAAATAAGCAAAACACATATGAAAAGACTGCTGACCAAAAACATAAAATACGAAAACAGGAAAACCAACCAAAATATTCCTTATTAAAAAATATGAAGTACCCAGTAAATTTCTTGCGTTCTTTCAGACTGGCTTTTCACAAGGCCAACTTACTTATTGTATTGTACCCAGTGCTTGGCCTAGTCTAGTTTTAATAATAATTCAGAGAAATTAGCTTACAACACAATGTATCTGTCAATATCTTAATATTCTCCTACCTTCAATGGTGGCTCTGGTGCTGGGCTTTTAAGTTCTGGGAGCCTGTAGAACAAAAGATTTTAAGTTATAAATTAAGACAGCTGGATTGCACAACCTAAAGCTTATAATTCCTTCCCCACAAAGGCTGCTTTGGTTATCAGCTGCTCACACATGGTGTGCGTTTGCAAAAAAAGCAGCTCACGGACTCTGTATTTCTGACTTAGATAACTAAAACAGAGCCAGGCACCATACAGAAACATGGGCTCTTTTAAAAGTTCTTAGATCTGGCAACCAAAACAGGAGAACTCCACCTTACTTTTGAAAACCTTGGCTATTAGCAAGATGATATTATAAAGCACATAACATCTCTTCAATGAAACTGTTAAGCTACAGGACTTCAAGCTGCAAATTGCACTTTTTCCTATAGGCCACCATAACAGAACCCTTTGAATGGAACTGAACTGAGGGGCAGGTGCAGGGTCCCAGTGATGCTCCAAGCAAAGTCTGCTGCTGGCAGGGAACACCAGGATGAGGATGCTGGCTCACCTTCCCGATTTAAATATAAACTAACACAGGTTAGATATGCGAAGTCAAATCCCAGCAGCACTGAGTGAGTAGGGAAAAAGAAAGAGGACTGGGATGAGGGTTCTACTCCTGGCTCTGGTGCTTGTGCTTGACAATCCTGGACAAATTGCTTTAACTCTTCAGATTTCCTCCCCTGCCTTGCTTTAAACTGGGATACATTGCTCAGGGTTTCATGATGTAACTGTGGTAACAGGCATATCAGACTTATATATTACATCTCTCCTCCAGCCCATGGTCCTTAGCATCATAGGAACAACAGGAGGGCATAATCTACAGTTGAAAAAATCACATTTTAAGTGTGGCAAATACAATCTCATTGTGTCATCCACTGTAACCTTGATGAACAAATGTCAGTATTCAACAGAAATGATCAAAAGGACACTAATGCATGCCATATAAAACTAACAGCTAGCTAGAACAATACTTACCCTAAATATTTTAACAACTCCTTACTCAGATCTTCCGGAATATATTCTGATATTAACCCATGGGCATACCGTATGTAGTCTTCAGAAACAGGGCAGGGAGTGGGAAGAAGAAAAAGAACATTCACATTATATAGTCACGTTGCCTTAGCCATGTTGCATGCGCTACCATAAATCATAAGGTTCAATTAGTAGTAAGAGACTTCTAATGGATACACTGTGATGGTTCTCCGTGTTGAGTAGTTTATGTTATATGACACTTGTAGGTTTATTTAAAAAGTAAAGACTTACTATACTCACTTTGTCAGCACATGTTATTAATATCTGCTGTATGTACTTTACAAAAGCTGTTCACTTTCTGAGAATACTAGATATCATGTATTTTTCCAAAGAAATTAAATTTTAAAAACCTGCAAAAGTAAAAAGCTGACTCAACAGAACATGCAATCATTAATTTTAAAGCATCTGGATCTTACAATTATTTGGCAAGGGCTTCAGTACTAAAGTACATTTTCTGGCTTCAACTGAAAACAATTAGATGAGACAATGAGTCTATTTCAAAGTCTTGTACTTAATTTCAGTACTTTACGGAAAATGCCAAGGCCTATCTAAACATCACTGGCAAGACAGGATAATTATCTATGGAAATATGAACTACTAGAAGCTGTTTTCAGTACAGGGCACTTCTGTTATAAATGTTTTTGTGAGAGACTGAGAAAAAAAAAGTGACCCTCTTATAACATGAAGTCCTAAACCAGATCTTTTCCAGTCACGTTGTACACAAGCGCTTACTGATCAAGGGCTGGATCTTTTAAACTTGCTGTTGTTGGGGCTGCTAGGGCGTAACTGCACCCATGCACAGGAAGTATTTGCCAGACAGACATTAAGCTAAAATCTTGCCTCTGAATTCCATCTACAACAGGCCAGCTCTATCTGTTCATATGCCTACACACTTAGAGAGTTCAGAAGCATGTTGTAAACTAGCCTCAGGGTGGTAAAGAACTATTTCTTCTGTGCCAGAGATATTTTCCTCTGTTTTTAATCTAAAAAGCTCAATGCAAACTGGCATTGAAGCAGAAAGCATTAACAAACTGACACCAGCATATGCATTCCAACTATACTGACATCAAATTCTTAGTATCTCCTGTTGGCACTTCTCCTTTCTCCACTGCCTAGATTCATCAAGGATTTGTCACTCCCTAAGCCCACTTCAGGGTCAGGAAAGAACAAGAAATAATTATAATCCAAGACAATTTCACCTCAACACTTAGTATGTCCAATTCATTGCTCAAGAAAAATATTCCTATCATTTCACTCTTTGCATTATGACACTGAATGGTGAGTCCAAGTCAACTGCTAATATTTTGTACTAAATACAAAATCCATTCTCTTTCCATTTCTGCCTTGAAGCAATCTTCACTGACTTCCTTTGCCAATTTTCAAATACCACTGTTTGCCTTCTAGGGAGTCTGTGTTCTCACCCTAGCCTTGCTTTGTTATTAACCTCCTGTCAAACATCAGGAATACTTGCGCACCTCCCTTCTTTGTCTTCTGAATGAAATAGTCAGGTCTCACATGTTAAACCTCCCCTCCTTCCCCATTTGCACTCATTATATCCTCCCAGGTTTTTGCCCTACAACATCTGTACATGCTAACTACATATACCCATCTATTTATAAGGTACTGAAATTTCATAATACCCCTATGAAAGCAATTCTCTACAGAAATAAATTGCACTGCCATGGCTGTGAAAGAATAAGACAAGAAAATTAGTCTTATTAAAAGTAAGTGTTGAGTAAGGTCCATTTGACTTCCTGTCATTCACCTTGCTACATACAGTGGGACTGCCTCCAAAACTTACCTACTTTTAACTCCTAGTATTCCCTATTTCAGTGCTGCTCTTTTAAATCTAAAAAAGGCTTAATAAAAGACTACCGTATCCATGTTACTATAAGTAAGGAGGAAGGTGGAAAAAACACTGCAGATGAGCTATTTAATTACAAATTTCAGAGATAACGCATTTAAGCATAGTCAAGATGGTTGCTGTCAGGACAATTTTCCTTTTCTTTAAAAAAATGGGGGTGGGGAAAAGGATGAAAAGCTACTGTAAAGTTTAAGTCACAAGTTTTGCAGCTTTGCCTCTTTTTAAAAACCATGTATTACAATCTCTGTTCTATAAAACTGTCTAGTTGCCTCTTAAATCTCATTTATGTTGTTTCCTTTGATATCATTACTTGGTAACTCATTTTCCACTTGGTCAGCAAGTTGCTTTGTTTCTCCTTATTTTTCAACAGCATGCAGACTTCTGAATGTCTTTGTAATAAGAAACAATTTGCTTTTGTTCGTCTTGTTCTAAACTCTTCTTAATTTTCATTAACATTCAAAGAATTTATTCCGAGTCCATTTTCAGGTTTCTCTACACAACTTCATATCCCAGTAACATTCAGGACAGTGCCCTCCCCAGGGAAAAGGTGACTAGAAGCAAACAGGATCACTCCAGACTTTTTGGTACCAGGACTGTCAATTTCAGGGCAATTTAATACACATTATTACATATATATGTAGTATATATATACATACATACATAATACATATATTACAAAAGTTTTTGCCCTTAATAAGCACAGACTTGTGTATTCTACACATTTGTCACATAAAGTAACGTTTGGACCAGGAGCTTTTACTCTGTGACTATGACCTCCTAAGATGCCTTCCCTTCTTGGAGAATTCTATGAAAACCATTTGCATGCTAATAAAAATAATACTAAAAAAGAAGTCTGTTCTAATACAGAGACACTTATTGGGTGGATACTCATATAAATTATAAGCGTGTCCTACTGTCCAAGAGAGTCTCCGTTCAGCAAAGCACTTCAGCATGTATTTCACTGAGAAAAAAGTCTTCTCCTTGAACTAAGGAGAAGCTAAAAGAATTCCAGCTGAGACCTACTGTTAATTACAATGTAATCCGATGAAGATACCAAAGAACTGAGAAAAGTCAAGGCACACAGTCACAACTTATATGGAATTTTCTGTACAAGGAATAAATTTACTGCAAAGGCCAATTTCAATACATTTTAGATTCTAATCACGTGCTTTATCTCCACATATGCCATTTCACAAAAATGGAATTCATTACAATGTTTAGTTTTCTTACCTTCTTTAGTATCTGTGATCTGTATACCGCTGATAAATGTAGCTGCATGTACCCTTTCACCTACAGATATATTGTTGCTTTTAAGTGCTTTCACTGTTTGATTGACCTATAGGAAACCACAAAATGAAATGTCTGTATCAGTGTTGTTATGCACATGTTAATGCAGTGACAAAGCTCTTGTAATTTTGTTTCAAGCATATAAAACACTCAAGTTATGGACTGTGGTGAAATTTAATATACATTTGTAATGACTAGCATATGAGCTCAAAAAACCCAAAGAAACTAGCAGGTCTTTGAACATGTTGCCATGGCAACACAGCACCAGTTTTGCAGCACCCTAAGATGAGCTGAGCTACTCAGATGCAACAGCCATGATTATACAGGTGAGAAATACACCTGCTTGGAGAACAGCGAATGCCTGAGCTCAGCTGGATTGCAAGGAGGCAGTCCTGATGGAAATCAAAGATTAAGGACTTTACAAGGCACTGCTATACTGGATCTAACAGAGATGTAACTGGCAGAAGATATTTTCAACAACACAAACAGGTACCTGTTCAAATGTAAATATTCAGATATTCATTGCAAAATGGATATCTCCATGCCTCATCGTTGCAGAAAGCAGACCAAATTTTGTGCCTGTGTTGGCTAATTTAAATGACAAGGCTTCCTTGTATCATGTGACACATACAATCTTTTTCTACAAAGTGGCATCATAGTAGGGGCACATGTGCATGTGTGAAATGAGATTCACCTTCTTTATACCAAAACACAGACCACATCAAGCTTAGCTGTAATGCTAGTTTATTTTCTGCATACTGTACAGACCTCTTGAACAGCATGATCGGATCAGGATAGCAGCAACCATACCAGGACCATTCTGAGAGACTCTGCCAAAACTTCATGAGGAAACCCATTTGTAGCACAAAACCAAGGCATTTCTGTCCAGCTTTAAAGCGTGGCAGAATTTCAAAGTTGCAACAGTCAAAGCTCTCCTCTAGCCCATCTGTGAAGTGCATGAAGCAAAAGACAAGCCCCTCACCTTATGCAAAGCCTACAGAACACAGTGATAAGCTGAACTTCAGCTTCTTCTTCTGCCTCCCCGCACTCCATGAATCCCTTTCATGCCAGCCCCATCAGGAAAAGAAACGCAACAACCTTGTCATTTCTCTAATACCTCATCACATTCCTAAGTACAACAACTTTACTGTGATGTCTGTCCTTCTTGGACAGGACACGTACCTTGAACTGAGGCACACCACATGGCTCAAATGCAGATATGGACAAGGTAATAGGCATTTTCATTTTAAACATAAAGCAATTTTGAAAGCAAAAGAGAAACACAATACCTTTTTCTTTAACCACTTCAGTGTCTTCTCTTGGCTGTATTTGTGGAATTTCTGACTGCCAATCTCTGAAAAAAACAAGCAAGGGGAAGAAAGTCATGACTGGTTTGGATTGCATTTTCAATACATTTAAAATCTTTTAAGTTGTAGATACAGCATCAAAGTTAATTTGCGGCTTTCACAGGTTTGATATCAGGGCAGTAAGTTTCAAAAATACTGGAAAGATAAACAGACTGAGCTGATATGCACAAGTCTGAACAACTTGACAATTCTTTAATTAGACCCTAATCCAGCAAAGCACATTTTTTTTTATTTATGTGTAATCTTGGGCTGCCTGAATTCACTAAGACTCTTCTCAAGCCCTTGTAGTTTGCCAAACTTTCACTGCCCTGTGTCACCAGACTGGTCATTTTAACTACATAGTTCCACCACACAAAATGTTGGTTCCACGACTGCTTTTTTCTTTAAACATAATATCTTAAATCTTTACTTATTGAATTCCAGCACCTAGTAAGGGGCCAGGACAGAGAGTTGGTTAGTGAAGACAAACCATCCACCCTTTCAATAAACCCTTTTCCGATCAGTTCTCCCCTCTCATTTCACAGGGTGACTAAAGCAAGTTTTACTTCTATCCCCCTTTTACGTAGTTTAATATAGTGTCAAAAGAAAATACAGAATCCAAAACAGTGAAACACACTCCTTGTGGGAGGAAGTACATGATTCATTTATGATTTATTGAGCAACATAAATTAACTCAATGATATAAGAATTTCAGAAAGTGTTTCCCCTGTGATAACTAAGGTATCATGAACACTTGCTATTCACATGTGATCAGTTATCTGGAGATATGAGTTCATGATGCGGAGGCAAAGGAGAGAAAATTACAAAGGCTCATGGAAATTTCAGTATAAAAATTCAGTATTAATTCACAGAAAGCTACATTTTGGAACTGGAATGAAATGCCTAATAGGATTTCACAGGAGATTTTAAAGCCCACTGTGTCTCAGCCTTTTTCTTTAACAGGTATTTCAATAAGTTTTAATCTCCTGTATACCATTCCCGTAAATACCTACATCTGTTTCATGTCATTTACTGATCCAGTATCATATTCCAACACTCAGTTCATGGAGTTTCCTTCTCCCCTTGCAAACAACAACATATTATTTATGATTCCTTCAGCATTTCCTTCTTTGAGGCTTATCCTGGCTCTTTCAAATTGCATACAAATAGCTAACTATTATGTGCTCTTTGTGTATGCATGGTAGGGGGTATGGAGAGGTCGAGGAAAGTTGTTTACAAATCTATCTCAACAGCTGTAGAACAGTAAAATGCAAAAATTCTTCAGAGCAAAAAGGAAAAACCACTAATATACACTTTTCTTCATAAAGTTAATGAGTTGCAGGTAAAGTAATTAGCTGTGACATTGCTGGCTGCAGCCTTTAGGACTTAGAAGCTTCTAAACGGCTCTGAAAGAAAAGAAGCAGAAAATGGGGGAGACACTCTGGATACTTGAACCTGCTTCTCAAAGAGCTAACATGGTTTGGGTCCAAGTACAGTGAGTACGATTCGTGGATTCCTCTCTTATCTAAGAAAGTTCGAGGAAGGGACATCCTCTGGCCACCATCCCCCAACCCATGCTGAAAAGTAATTCTAGTTTGGATTCCCAGGCAGACTCCCCCTCTACAGCATGATTCAGAGTGACTCAGTTAGGGAAAGGAAACGTAGAACTGTGAAGCCATTTTCATTAAAACGTGAAAAATAATTACACTGAACCCTTCAGAGATCACTTTGTTTGAAAATATTTTGTGTGCTTGACAGTTTTGACTATTAAACTCTAGAAACTGACAATATTTGAGACCTCTGAAGAATTAAAGTGAGTTATGAAAGTCACAAACTGCTGACAAAAGGATTCAATATTGGAACGTGGATTTAACATGTGATGCACATTTGATATTGGTGAGAGTTAGCGACTATGTTTGATAATATGAGTATATATTGGAAAGCCTTTTGTTCCCTAATGTGTCTGGTGCCTATAAAACTGGTCTCAGACATCTGGAAAGATTGGGTTTGAGAAATACAGATGGAATATAAGTGGTTCTACAATTAAATAATATGTTCAGCGATCGGGTAATCGCTATGTAGACTTGGAAGTTTCCCTGATGTATTGTTGAGCAAACTGCCTAAAGCACATTTTAACATCCATTTTCTCAGTGTTTTCCATAACTCTGAAACTCATATGGCCCCTTTTTTCCTACCTTGTGGGAATACAAGCTTGGCAATATTACTTAGTTATTCTAATCAGGTAAGTTTTCTTGGCTCTTCATGTTAATCACATCAGACAAGATCACAGTGCAGTTTTTGCCTTGCAAAATGAAACAAAGACTAACACTCTAGAACTGGAATTCATAACCCTTTCTTAAACTTTCTCTATTGTACTTTCTATTCGATGTTTGAATTTATTAGCAAACAACCTGCCTCACCCAGATTTAGAGAGCTGTAACACACCTTTTCCCCAACTACTAAAGCAGGTAACTGGGAATTTAATCCAGCAAAATGAATTTTCAGTGCCCTTCAACACTGAGGCCAGGGAAGGTGGACTTTCTGCTAATTCAGTAAGTGTAAACTGTGAGCGCTCTAGGGTAAGAATTTGTTAGACAGATGTTAAATGCCTTAAGATTAACATTAAGAGTGAAATAATTACGTTGTTAGGTTCTGCCAAACAGATAAGAGCTGCAGAAGACTCAACACAACAGGTACTTCTTGCCCTAAAGCCCTACTCCTTAAACGAGAAAGGCTACAAAGTAGACAACAGGTCTTAGAGCTAGAAAAGAGTACCTTAGTCGTAATATTGGTGTTTTTTACAGGCAATAAAAGACATGAGAATATGAAACACATAAAAGTGGATTGAACAGAAAGGTGATCTGTGCATGACAGGCAAGGAAATGCCAATGTGTTTGTTGCATAACAATATGCTTGGTGTTCTAAAAAAAGAAAGAAATCCTAAGAACAAGCCCCACTGTTACTTTCAACCCAACCCAAACCTGAACAAGAAAAGCAGCAGCAGGTCCATGCAGGTACATGCCTAGGGACATCCAAGAACATCACATACAGCTGGTGTGTGCACGCGTGTACAGTTTTAATGACAAAAGCAATTTTTACCTTACATTTCAAAACAAAAACCAGGAACTGAACATAACTTTAACAGTTGATATAATTTGCTGGCAAAATGACACAAACTTATAGGTGTACATAATACATTATTAAAAACATCAATGCGAAAAACCAAGCAGTAAAGCATCTTCACTACTGTCTAACAGAATACAGATTATCAGAGGATGCTCTGATGGATAACAATTGCAAATACAATTTCAGAATGGATACAGAGGTTAGACCAAGATATAAGACCTTATCTATAGCAAATACTTTTTTTTTTTTTAATTTTTATTTTGCTGTTAAGAAGGGAATATAAATACTGCCCAAAGGCAGCACTGTTGTTTGGAGGAAATGCCCCTTCAGCAAAATAATCCAGACCTTGTCCTACATTCCTATACAGACTTCTTAGTTTGACAGCCAAGAGGATCGGGCACAATTTTTCACCTTCTCAGATGGGTGCACAGAAGTTTAGTACCCCTTCTCTCACCCCTAGCTCCTTAGCCAGCGTTAGACAAGTCGTAGGGCACAGCAATTGCCTAAAAGCTTAATAATAGTTTTTACTGGAAGTATTTATCACTTCATGAGAAGGCAAAAAGGGTTTTGCAGTTCAGATGCACCTGTCTTACAGAAGCCTTCTCAAAAGTCAGAACTCACCCAAAGAAAAAGGTTGCCTGCTCCCAGTGATACTGATTGTCACTAAATGTTTTCTGAAGGTTCTTTCGGAAATCCAAGAGTATCACAACAGCACGTAATTCCAACTACCCCAGTCCCAGCAAGAATGTAACAACAGTCTTGCTGCCCAGATTTCCTGCTCTCTTGTTAAAGTGATCACTTTCAATGATCCCAATGATCAAGGGAAACTTGTCCTGCCCTAAAGTTCAAATTGATTTTCTGGGGGAAGCAACTGCCCTACATTACTGCATACGCACCATATCATACAGGAAATACTTAAACTTGTGCATCTAAATCTTTCAGGAGAAGCTCACAGCCCCCCCATTGATGTTCTGTACAGCAATAAAGAGGTCTGGTGTTTTACTTCTTAGCAGGGTTTTCATTCTTCCATCACCTTTCCTTAGCCACTTCCCAGTTATCTGTAGATCACCTAAATATTTCCTTTTATATACATCAATGACAAGGGCAGAGTGCTTCATGAAAGCAAATTCCTAGTATTTCTGGCTTTCGATCTGTGTACCTCAACTCCTTGGAGGAGCTCTACATGCATAAGGGTCAGACAGCTTAGTTGTTTTGCACTTGGTGGCAGATTCCATGTTCTCAGACTCCTGTACCTCCTCCTGGAGATCTCCATCTGCTTGTAGGTAAATCTCCATTCACTATCAGGAAGTCAGCAAGCATAAGGAGAATGCTCTTTAAAGGACTGAATATAAAAACTGAAGTCTTGCATCTTTTGCACACCTGCCAAGCTGTGAAAATTATGTAATGCTCCCTCCTCTTCCCTAGAAAGCATATATTGTCCTCAAATAAAATAAAATCCCCCATACCAAAGGGAATTCTGGGCAAAGATTGAGGAAACTGTGTACAGAATTGATACTTTGCTAATTTTTTTCCATTTTTTTCCCTCATACACTTATGCATCCCGATCAAGTTTTCTATTTTAAAAAAATTGTCTTTGAACTTAAATCCATAACGCTAAATTATGCAAAGCTAGAAAACTCGTGCTCTCCTTTCTCAGCAGCATATTCTCTCTTCTCCAGCTCTTTCCTACTTATTGTTTGAATGCTTTGCGACAAAGGGAGGCAAAAAGCCAAATGGACAATGGTTAACTTCTTCCACACCAGACCATCCTACACTAAATAAAGAATTTAGAGAGATGTAAAACTTTCATCAAAAGGCAAAGAAAGTTCACAAAACATACACTAATGTCAAGAAGCCAGCTCTGATCAGTTTATCACTTTTATGACACCTAGCAACAAGACTGCACAAATATTTTAGAGTTACAGCAGATAATGTGGGATCCACACATTACTATTCACAATACTGCAATGGTGACTTCTAAGCCTAAGCTTCTGTTTTTAAAGTACAGCTTCATCCAGCACCTTGGGTGTTTGATAAAACAAAAGCCAATATTTAAATCTATCTTGTAGTGAAGTGACACTAACAAATCTGGTCTTTTTTGTGCCCCCCAGCCCCTTTTTTTCACCTTTTTCTTCTGTTACATGATGTATGTACTGTTTAACATCTGCACACTTCAGCAGCAATGGGCAGCTAGGGTACTCTGAGTCTAGAACAACTTGATCGAGTGGCTGGAACTTTCCTGGCTGCTGAAAATACATCAAAGGGATTATAAAAGCATTATTATAATGTTAGACACATATACACACTACACATATATAGAAATATATATGCATGCAACGGCCATAGCCTTAAAATAAAGGATTTAAAGAAGATCGTATTTTGAATGATAACACATGACACATTCAGAAACCGATTACAAAGCAAGCTATAAATACTTATTTCAAACCAGTAAATACCTGCAAAATGCTGAACTCTTCAATTACTGCACTTAAAAGACCAAATTTAAAACAACATGGGGAGAAACTAATGTGAAGTACAGTGGGATTTTTTGGAAGATGACATAAGACACAGTAGTCAATGTGTGCCAATACTGTTTAAGACCAAAACCTGTTGGATTAAACCCAGTGTCATAACTTCCATTCAAATTTTGCTTTTCCTTCCATAAAGATAAATCTCAAAGGAGCAGGGTAGCTTCTGGAACACAGTATTAACCTTTCACCTCTGCAAAGTCAATTGCACTTAGGCCAGAATATGTATATAAAGTGATTTTGGCACAACTTAAATAGCCCCACACATGACAGAACCATCAAACAAATGTTGCCGTTGCCAAACAATGCATAATCATTCAGCACGGTTTGGCACAACTGGCAGCCTTCCCTTTGGAAAGATCCTTTAGCGCATCAGTACAAAGACTCTGTGAACTCTCCATCCTTAAGAGAGTGCACGGTCTCAGGAGCCAAAGCTGAAGTCATTATACCGGTCAGCATGAAAAAAACACCACTTGGGTATACTGCTTTCACTATTAATTAATCCATTTGCTAGAAAGTCAGATGCTTAATAAAAGTAACCACCCATTGTTCAATCACAATAAAAACAAGCAAACCCCCCCCAACAACAAAAAAAAAACCCAGAAAGGCTTTAAAGTTTTTTTTCTCCTGAAAAAGAAAAGGCACAATAACAATGGCAAGAAGAAGGTTATGAGACACAGAAATAAAGCTGCAATAAACTGTTTCCTATAGATAACTTACCTGCACAAACCTGCTTGTGTCCCAAAGCAAGACAGCCATATTTATGTTGTGCAGGGGCACAGAGCCCAAGCTAAGAAAGCCTGCTGGATAGGAGATGGCTCTGCTCAGAAGACACATTAAGCAACCCTGCATCACACTATCAAAGGATGGTGCAGAGGATGATCCTAAGATACCCAGTGAGTACCTTGATACTCATTAGTTCAAGCCAGAAGTGATTGTGCTGCATTCAAGCTGGCCTTGCACAAGGTATCTGCAACACAATCCTCAAGACCTCCCTTTACTGAAGAATACACTAACTTAGGCAGG